AGGGAAAAAGAACTTTAATATTGATTATGGCAATGATTTTTTGGATACAACAGCAAAAGCTCAGAAACAGAAACAAGAATTAAGAAGTGGGAGTACATCAAACTAAAGCTTCTGCATAGAAAATGAAACAATCAACAACATAAAAGGGAAGCATTATGAATTGGGACAAAATATTTGCAAACCATAGGCCTGGTAATGGGTTAATATTCAAAATAGGTAAGGAACTCACTCAACTCAGTATCAAAATAATAATCATGATAATTTTTGTTTTTAAATGGGGTAAAGGATCCCAAGAACAGACATTTCTCAGAAAAAGACAAATGGTCAACAGGTATATTTAAAGGTACTGGACATCACTGATCATCAGGGAAATGTAAATCAAACTACAATCAGGTTTCGCCTCACATTGTAGGACAGCGGTTGTCAAAATAAACAAGAGTTAACATGTACTGGTGAGGCTGTGAGGAAAAGGTGATCACTGAGTACAGTCGTTGAGGAAAACAGTATGTCCCAGCAATCTTGCTGTTGGGCATACAGCCAAAGGAAATAAAATCACACCCTCATGTTCACTCCAGCACTGTTCACTAGAGTCGAGATATGGAAACACCACCAGAGTCCAACAGTGAACGAACAGATGCAGAAATTTCACATAGATAGGTATATCACTATTATCGCTATAGAGATATGTCAATGGTTGTTGGAAAAGTCATGACACATTTTTGCACAGAAAAGTACACCAAGACTTTTCCAGTGACGATAAATATATACATATAATAGTCTGGATCCTTATTTTACAACATAAGGAAATATACATACACAAAGAGGGATATTATTCAGCTTACGAAAAGGAAATATTGCCATTTGCAACATGACAAACGTGGAAGACATGATGCTAAGAGAAATAAGCCAGACACAGAAAGAAAAATATTTCACGATCTCACTAATATGCAGAAAGTAGAAAGGTAGTGAAGGGTGGGGAGGTGGAGAAAATGGGGAGAAATAGGAAAATGGCCCAGAAAAAGTGGTCTTGCAGGATTAGCCTAGAAACATACTATACCAGTGAAGGGTGGGGAGGTGGGGAAAATGGGGAGAAAGAGGAGAATGGCCCAGAAAAAGGGCTCTTGCAGGATTAGCCTAGAAACATACTATACAGCGTGAGGAAAATAATAACGCAACATTGTGTACTGAAAATTTGCCGAGTAGGCTTTAGGTGATTTTACCCCAAAATAGGGAAAAAAGTAACTAAGAGTGTTGATGACTAGGCTAATATGCTTAATGACAGTAATCAATGTGTAAGTTCATGAAAACACAGGTTGTACACCTTAAATATATATATATATAAATGTCACCATGAAAACAGAAAACATATTTATTCATTCATCAAGATTTGGGTTGGGACCAGCAGTTGGTGTAATGGCTACGTCACTGGACTCCCATGTAGTCGACTGTGGTTCGAGACCTTGACCCAGTGGCTTGAACTCATGCAGGCATGTGTGTGTGCGTGCCCAAGATCCCAAAAGGAGTATGGAGAAGGGATTGCGGCATGGCCATCGCCCCTCCCTGGGAAGTTATTTCTCGCTTCTGTCTCTCTCTGTCTTTCTGGAGAGCACACGCGTCCTATAGCAAAAAACTTTCAGAAAAAAAAAAAAAAAGAAAAAGAAAAAGAAGATTTGGGTTTATAAAATGCCAGGATCTGGAAATTTGTGAAAATCTAAGTGAACTTAATTTCTTTTTTTCAATTTTCTCTGGTTCAATTTTCTCTGGAGCACACTTTCTTTGTCTACTTTTAAAATCTAAGATACAATTGTGTAAAGTGGATAGTACATTTCTTTCTGTAACATTAATTAATTAATTCAGGTAATACGTTCTTATTAACTAATCTGCCTTTCCCTCCCCTTTTTGTCTTTTTCATTGTACCCACATGCCTTCTTTTTCCTTCCACTCTTAGCAGTTTTAGAATTCACTTTGGAAAAACAAAAACAGCTAGGAGGCTAGTCAAATAGGCTTATTTCCCAAATCAAAATTTAACTTAGAATCCAGGTACAAAAGCATTTTTTCACTTGCTGCTTCTTGGACCCTTCAGTTCCATAAAGTGGAACTGCCTCCACATGGGGGTGTTGATATTGATCCCTCTTGATGTCCTGAATCTCAGTTCTTAGGAGCTTACACCCTAAAGCTGCCTCTGACTCTCTCTAGTCAGAAGTGTTATGTTCTAATTCAACTGCGAGGTGGAAATCCACAGGGGCCCAATTCAAGCACACTGCTACCAACGTCAAAACTAGACAAATGGATGCGCTGTCATCTTGGTCAAATATCAAATTCCTATCCGAAGTTCTGCACTCGGGTATTGGATTTAGCAAATTTCAAACTTTATGTACCTAATGTTCCCCTTAACTTAGACTCAGGATCCACATCCCTATGGCCATGATGTTAGAAGTGCCATACTAAAGATAACATAAATAAAAAATGCAACTTCCCTAACAGTTCATAGTAACAAGTAGGTCATAGTGAAGTCAAAAGAACTGTTTTACATTTCGATATATCTAAAATCAAAATTAATCGTAAAATTCATTCATTCATTTTATGTGTTTTTTTTTTAATAAGAACTGTTAACATTTATATCTATCTGTATTACTCTTATGGTATTTTAAATCTTAAAGAGTATGGCATTTAAAAAAATTATTTTATTTAACTTTATTTATTTTATTTAACCAGAGAGGAACAGAGAGAGAAAAAGAAAAAGAGAAAGCTGTCATGTCTGGTACCCGAACCGCAGTCCCAGACATGTGGGAGTCTGGTGCCTGTAACCACCATGCCACCTGCCGGCCCCAGAATATGGCATTTTAATTATACTTGATTGTAATAGTGATTCTGCGAGGGAAAAATGCATCCCAAGTTGGATGGCTGCATACTTTTTTGCCCATTTAAAAGGTGCAATTTTATAATCATAAGACTAAGAAATCAGAACAGATTTTACTTTCACTAGACATCTTTAACTTCTACATCAGAACAGATTTTACTTTCACTAGACATCTTTGGACAGTCAATGCTCCCCCTGCTCCATATGTAACAACTTTTCTTGAAATTTCTTCTGTGGTATGTACACATACCAGATTCTGTCCCATCTATTTAAAACAGAGAACCTCCTCTTAGTCTATGGCTTCCCTTTAGCTGTAGCGCTCTTTCCTTCTCCAGAGAGCCCACCCTCCTTTAAGGATACTTGGACATTTTCGATTGAATACTAGTAGCACATTTTTGCAAGTTGTTTTCTATTAGTGGACAGTGAAGCTATGAAGTGTTTCCTATGAAAAACTGATTCTGGGGGCTGGATAACGATGCAGCTCTAAAACACAATGCTCTGCCAGGCTGACCCATGTGGGGACATTCTGGACTCACATCCAGGCCTTAGTACTCAAGGCACACTTGTGCTCCTGAGCCAGGGCGGACTGAAGCTGGGGGAAGACTCTGGTGTCAGGATTCTGTGGAGGGTGCTGTGTCTGTCACTCATGGATGAAAATAGACTAACTTAAAAAAAAAAATTATTCCATTCAAGTTCACGAACAAATGCCTTTGTACATCAGTGCACCTAATATTCCTGTAGACTAGAATCGTAGAAACGAAGCAACTGCACCTGGATAATTAATGTACGTGACACTGAACTGTGTCCTTCCCTGTACACGTCTGCCCAAACTCTCCTCCTAAAATCTGAACCCCAAGGATGACGGACGTGACCTTAGTCGGAGGAGGAGTCTTTTCAAAGGTAGTCAAGTAAAACGAAGGTCATTAAAGGCGAATTTTAATCCAGCATGATTCAAGAGAAAATCTAGACTCACACTGACACAGAGGGAAGGGATGTGAAGGTAAGTGAGAAGCTACGTTAACATGCATAGCCATCTACAGCCCAGAATGAGAAACCTGAAACAGATTGACCCCTCACAACGCCGAGAAGGAATCAATACGGCCAACACCTTGATCTTGGACTTCCAGGCCCCAGAACTGACACATACATTCTGTTGTTTAAGCCCCCAGCTGGCAGTACTGTTACGGAAGCTCTGGAAAACGAACACAGCAACTTGCAAAATGGCTCTAGTAATTTATACCTTAAACCACCATATACATGGGTAACTTTCTTCCCATAAATCACCAAAACGAAACAGCAGTCTTTGAGGTGTTTCGTTCATTTTTAAGAATAACTGGTATCTCTTTTTGATGTATACTTCTTACATTGTTAATTAAATCCAGATTGAGTGTATTTCTGGGCTTTTATGTTATTTTGCCATATTTAAAATCGATGAACAATATTAAATAACCATGCACATCTCACGATATATGATTTCAACATAGTTTGATGGCAATGATAAAAAGAAAAATCATAAAAATATACACTTAACTTAAAAATGTTTACTCAGTTATTGAGTGTCTACTAGAATTTTCATTCTCTTGATTATCACAAGTACCACAAAGTATATTTTTAAAAGCCAAAAGCCAAGTAATTGGAAACTATAAGAGGAAAAACCAAAGTTATTTTCAAGCTTGTAGTATGCGAAAATAAGTCTCATGATCAATAATCCCAAACATCATGTACGAAGGATTATGCTTTTGAAGGTATCACCGAACTTCTGATTAGAATGATGTTCTTTTTTTTAAAAATTATTTATTTTATTTTATTCATTCATTAATTCATTTTAATTTGACCAGAGAGAGACAGAGAGAGAGAAAGAGTGAGAAAGGAAGCCACCAGGTCCAGGACTTGAACCATGGTTGGCCATGTGGGAGTGTCCAGCGCCTTATCCACTATGCCATCTGCTGGTCCCTAGAATAATGTTCTTAAAACGGAATCAGAAAGTACAGCAGCATCTTAGTAACATTAAAAATACACTTGTTATGGCCCTTAATATCGATTTAAAAATTCCTTCCTAGAAACAATAATCAATGAAGCCTATTTATCCATGATCACTCTGCTTATCCTGTGGGAGGGCTGTTTTCCATCTTCTTTATCATCAATACATTTTTGCCTTGGAGTGAGTTAAGATGTGAGCTTTCAGGTTATTTGACTGAATAAATCTTCTGTTACAGCCTTGGAAGGGACAGGCAAAACGTTTCTCCCCGGTGTGGATGCGTACGTGTGTGCGCAGATTGAAGTCCAGAGAGAAGCGCTTCCCACAGCCTTCAAAGGTGCACTGAAACGGCTTCTCTCCCGTGTGAACCAGAAAGTGTCGTTTCAGTTTTGAGCTCTCAGAGAACGCCCTTCCGCATTCTGCGCACACGTGGTCCCGGGGACCGTGGGTCAGAAGGTGCTTTTTCAAGGCAGCTCGGTTCCTCAACTTTCTCGTGCATCCACTCTGAGGACAAAGGACCGTCTCTGGAGCATCCTGTTCTTTATTTTGAGGGGGCTTCTTTCTAGCAAATTCCGCGAGCTGTTTAGGGTCTGATAAGTCAACGCCAGGTAGTCCTCCGGGGGGGAACTTCTTGCCCGTCATGTACTCGGAATACTCAGGAAGTGAATTCTCACCAACCACCTGTTGAGAAAGCTCCTGTTTTGCCCCCTTTTTAATGTATTTCAAAGAACATTCAAGAAAAGAGCTCGCTTCCAGAACCTGTTGAGAAAGGTCTTGCTCCGATCCCTCCTTGAGATATTCAAAGGACTTAAGAAGTGAGTCCTCTTCCAGGACAGGCTGAGGAAACTCACCAGTTATGATGCACTCTATGTAGCAATCGGGGAAGTCACCCTCTTCGACAGGCTGCTGGCTGGCGTCAAAGAGCACATCTTCATCATGCAAGGCCCAGGTCGGGCTCAGAGGTTCCATTTCCGCCTGCTCTTGCTGGCTTGCTTTGCCTTGCCTGGGCTGGGCCCCTCGGAACCCTCTTCCACCCGGACCTTTCCGGCCACTTGTCATTCCCCTTTTCTTCAGTTGTGCGTTCATGTCTCTCCTGCTCACTTCCTCCTTGAAGGGTTATACTAGGATTTAGCAATGACCTGCAGGAAGGAGTAATCCGAGGAAGTCGTCTTCAGCAAACACCTGCTTTATGATAATAATGTTTCATTAAAATATGTTCTAATAGTAGAGCCTTTGTCAAAAATGACCTCAAATAATAGCATAGAATTCACATTCTACTAATGGCATGACAACTTGTATTTCTTCTCTGATAAATTCAAGATACAAAGAGGATGAGTTCTGGCCTAAGACCGTGGTTCTATCCAGCTTTCATCTGGGCAACCCTGCAAGTTACCTGATCTCTCTCATTGACCACCTGATATATACTGGGCTCTCACTATCTGCCAGCCTTCCACACTGCTGGTGACAGGTCAGTGAAATGACACCCCCAGAAGCCTCTGCCTGCACAGAACAGACACTCTCATGAGCAAAGCAAATAAATAGTGTTTGCCACAGCTTTCACAGTGATTAAGCGCTCTGGAGTAGGTAAAGGAACCGGAAGAACTAGGAGGTTGTCATTTGAAATCAAGCACTCAGGCACACTTCCGAAAGGTGAGTGGCCGCTGATTAACATCTTGGAGGTGAAGGAGCAAGATGTGCCCATTTCAGACCAGCAGGTGGCATGGTGGTTAAGGAGCTGGACACTCCCACATGGCCGACCTCGGTTCAAGTCTCGGACCTGGTGGCTTGCTTTCTCACTTTCCCTCTTTCTCTCTCTGTGTCTCTCTGGTCAAACAAAAAATAAATGAATGAATAAAATTAAATAAATAATTTAAAAAAATAAAAGATGTGCCCATTTTCTTCTGTGACACTGTTGTGAAACTCAAACTAAATATTGCACGGGAAGTGCTCGGCACAGTTCCCGGCCCATCGCAAATGCTGAACACTTAGGTGAGCTAGTGTTAGTTTTCAATTCCCTTATTATACCAGTAAATGTCACGTCTTGTTACATGCCAAGCACTTTTCTTCCCCAGCAATGGCAAACTTCTCCCGTGAGGAGCCAGATTTGAGTTTGTGAGCCTCCATCTGTGGAACCTGTTCATCTCTGTGACTGTAGCATGGACGCGGTCAGAGGCAACACATTGAGGATAAGGCCATTCTTTTTTTTTGAGAGGTTTTTCCTATAGGGCATGTGCACTTGCCAGAAAGACAGAGACAGAGAGATAGAAAGTGAGAAATCACCACCACCCCCCCGAGGGGAACGCCGCAATCCCTTCTCCTCCATTCTCCTCTTGGGATCTTGGGCACACATGTACACACGCCCAGTGTGAGTTTATGCCACCGGGTCTGGGACTCGAACCGCAGTCAACTACATGGGAGTCCAGTGACATAGCCATTATGCTAACTGCTGGTCCCAGGATAAGGCCATTCTGATGAAGCGGGGAGAGACTGCATTCGATTCACAAGACACAGGTCAACACTCACTGTTCCAGCCACTGGGGACCTAGACACACAAAAACCCTGGCATTCTTCTCCCTTAGGAGGATAAATCAAAATAAAGGCACAGGATAGTCAGGCCCTGAGTAGTTTTCCATCATTTCCTTAAAAATCTGAAAGGAAGGGGGCCGGCAGGTGACACGGTGGCTAAGGGCTCTGGACTCCCACATGGTCGACCGCGGTTTGAATCCTGGACCTGTGGCTTTCTCACTTTCTTGCTCTGTTCCTCACTGGTCAAATTAAAATAAATAAAGTTAATTAAAGTAAATAAGTTAATTAAAATAATTCTTAAAAAACACCTCATGAACAGAACTTTTAATTGTAGTTTATTCAAGAGATGTTTTATATATGTGTATATATATACATACATACACACATAAAAAAAAAGCTTCACTGTTCTGATGTTTTGCTGTAGGAACAAAAATTAAATGCTTTAAAAAAGGGAAACAATGTTGGGGAACCAGCAGTTAGTGTAATGGCTATGTCACTGGATTCCCACGTAGTCGACTGCGGTTCGCGTCCCGGACCCGGTGGCTTACAACTCACGCCGGGCGCGTGAGTGTGCGTGCCCAAGATCCTGAGAGAATGGAGGAGAAGGGGATTGTGGCGTGACCATCCCCCTGGGGGGTGATTTCTCGCTTTCTGTCTCTCTGTCTCTCTGTTTGTCTGGTGAGCACATGCGCCCTTATAGCGAAAACCTATCAAAAAAAAAAAAAAGGGAAAAATTGTGAAAGTAGTGAGGTGGAAATTAACATCTTGAAAATGCTTTTAAATGGGGCCAGCAGGTAGTGTGGTGGTTGGGGGCAATGGACTCCCACATGTCCAACCATGGTTCAAGTCTTGGACCGGGTGGCTTACTTTCTTCCTTTTCTTCTCTCTCTTTCACTCTATCCCTCTCTGGTAAGGAAAGAAAGAAGGAAAAGAAAAGAAAAGTGGAAAGAAGGAAAGAAAGGAAGAAAGTAAGTTTATTCTAAAAAAATGCTTTTAAATAATCAAATTAAAAAAAATAACACAGCAGGGACCAGCAAGTGGCATGGTGGTTAAGGCGTTGGACTCCCACATGGTCGACCGTAGTTCAAGTCCTGGATCCGGCAGCTTGAAAATCACATTATGTGTGCATGTGTGTATGCCCCGAATCCCACGGGAAAAATGGAAGAAAAGGGACTGTGGCATGGCCATCTTTTCTGAGGGAGTGATCTCTCACTTTCCTTCTCTGTCTCTCTCTCTCTGTCTCTCTCGCCAGCACACATGCCCTATGGCAAAAAGATAAAACAAAAAGAACATCCACTTTTAGCAAAAATAAACAGAAAGAATAAAAATAAAACAAGTTTCAACTGTTAAAGCAAAAGTCTGACATTTCTACTTAAAAATATTACGTAAATGTGGGGCCAGCAGGTGCCGTGGTGGTTAAGGTGCTGGACTCCCATGCAGGTGACCATGGTTTGAGAACCAAACCCAGAGGCTTGAAACTCACGCCGGGCATGTGTGTGCGCCTAAAATCCCAAGAGGAGAATGGAGAAGAAGGGACTGTGGCATGGCCATTTCCCTCGGGCGATGACTTCTCACGTTCTTTCAATCCCTCTGGTGAGTACACATGCCCTATAGCACACCCACCCACCCACCCACACACCCACACACACACCTCTCTCTAAACAATATTATGTAAATATTACAGTGTTACTATTTATTGTGCCCTTTCAAAAGGTGAAATAAAACAGATCATTTCTAGGACTATTTTCCTAGAAAAATCCTGGCACCTGTGGATTATAATCACGAGGATCAGATACAAACATCCCCATTAGTCCATTTAAGCGACCAATTGGATCCGATTCCTGCTTTTCTCTCCCAGAAGATCTCTCGCTACTCCAGATCTTCTATTTCATTATCTAGCCACAGTAACTCCCCTTCCAAGAAAGCACCGGATCCGTCCACCGCGCTTACTTCTCCCTTTCACTAAGCCCCACATCCTCACCGTCCACAGAAGCAGGTGTGTGTACACGCACACACGTGCTGCTTATTTCCCAGTCATTCTTTGGATCTCGGCTTATACATCACTTCCTTAGCAGGCTTCCCTAGGTTTTTTGTTTTGGAGACTTTTGCTATAGGGCGCGTGTGCTCACCAGACAGAGACCTAGAGACAGAAAGAACCGCAGTTAACTACATGGGAGTCCAGCCACACAGCCATTACGCTAACTGCTGGTTCCCAGCAGGCTTCCCTAGATTTTAAAGCTCAGTTAGGTCTGAAGACTCAACATCCTCTCCCCATTCACCTCTTTATTTTACCTTGATGAGAATTCTTGGATTGCTCCTAAAAATTATTATTAATTTATTTTTAAAGAATTATTTTAGGGGACCAGCAGGTGGCATGGTGGTTAAGGTGCTGGACACTTCCACATGGCTGACCACGGTTCAAGGGTTCAAGTCCCAGACCTGGTGGCTTGCTTTCTCACTTCCCCTCTTTCTCTCTCTCTCTGTGTGTCTCTCTCTGTCAAATTAGAGATAAATGAATAAATAAAATTTAATAAATAATAAAAAAGAATTATTTTATTTAACTTTATTTATTTATTCATTTTAATTTGACCAGAGAAGGGCAGAGTGGGATGGGGGGGATGGGGAGTGAGAAAGTAGGCCGCCAAGTCCAGGACCCCAGAGCCTTTAACCACCATGTCTCCTAGAAGCCCTTAATTGAAAGAAAGCAAGAAATTACCTCTCAGAGGTGATGGTCACCACAATCCCTTCTCCTCTATGGATTTTGGGCACACATGTACCCACGCCCACCATGAGTTTTTTTTTATAGTATTATTTTATTTTTTATTCTTAAGAATTATTTTATTTAACTTCATTTTTATTTTCATTTGACTGGAGAGGGACAGAGAGAGAGAGAGGGAAAGTAAGAAAGCAAGCTTCCAGGTCCAGGCCTTAAACCATGGTCATCCATGTGGGAGTCCAGCACCCTAACCACCACACTACCTACCAGCCCCCTGCCACGAGTTTTAAGCTGCCAGGTCCAGGACTTGAACTGTGGTTGACTACACGGGAGTCGATGGACGTAACCATTACACCATGTGCTGGTCCCTTACATTGCTTATTTACAATTTATCTTACCTGCTAGACTGGAAGTTCTATGACAGTAAAGGCCTCTTCTGCCTCGTTCACCGAACGTTCCCGCACTTGGCACCTTGGTCTAAAGACATAATGAATATGCATCAGCCATCCTGCTGGGGACTTCTGATTTAATAATCCCTTAACATAGAGTAGAAATGTATTTGGGACTTTAGACAAACTTAATGTAAAAGTTCCAAAAAGTTGGTTATCCATGATGCAAGGTGTCATTTAGAAAGACATCTCTCAAGGTCAGGGTTGAGGAATGAGAGGCATTTGCTTTATGCACTTACCAAGATCCAAATAGAGCCCATACTTTTGAAGTTAGTCTTATTTATCAAATCTAGAGCATTATACTATTTTTTCACAATAATATGTAGGCTTGTGAGAACGACATGTAATATTAAAAGGCTAGTTCATTAATTTATTATGGGAAAACTCCTGTTTACCTATCAAGCATTCTCCGTTAGTGGAAAAAATTTTGAGTAAACGTGGGTTGAGGACAAAAGCTATTCAATGAATATTAATGGATGGGATTA